GAAAATGGATTAGCATGAGCCGTCAAGTTTTTGTCTTTATTCCCTTTTGATTTAAAAAAAAAAAAGCCAATCAATGGGGTAGGATTAAATTAAAAACATGTCAAGGTGCATTTTACATGGAGCACACTTAACACTTTTGCCTGGAGTGCTTTCTGATGAAATACAGACTCCAATTTCCCATCATTACTCACCCTTCTTTCTGCTGCTTTGTCCTCTGTTGGTAGCAATAACTCTATACATGTCCTATAAACGTCCTAACAGGATACCGCACTCTGAGTCAGCTGCCACCACCAGGAGAACAGCTCCTTTCTGGAGACATCACACACAAATTACAACTTGAATTAGCAGTTTATCCTTAGAAAACTAGCAATTTACTAGTTATCTGTTAGTTGAGGAAAAAAAAAAAAGAAATTCAATTACTTGGTAGGGAGAAAACAGAATAAACAGGAGGCTGGTCCTTAAGAGTTGAATGGTGCGCAAATTTAGGTACTAGGTGGTCAAAGGGTGAATTCTCACACATTCTCATCCCTCCTTGACTTCTTGCAAACTTTCCACTTGGCATGTTATATGTCAAAGGCCAAAATGTAAGCTCCCCGAGTGTAGGGATAGTATTCTTTTTTATTTTTTTTACAGTCTTTGGCTGGGGCTGGGTTTGAACCCACCACCTCTGGCATATGAGGCCAATGCCTACTCCTTTGAGCCACAGGCGCCACCCAAAGATGGCAATCTTTAGATTCACTCTTGAATCTTCCATTCCCAGGCATGTAGCAGCCTGGCAAAAAGCTGACCCCAAGAAAACACCAAATAAGTGAACTCTTTATTAACTACCACGGGAGAGAAGAAGGAAAGAAACTGTGCTAGGTTCTAGGATCCCAGAATCTTTGGATTTTGTTATTGTTGAATAAAACTGCCTAGCTCCCCTTCTAGAAGCAGTGCTTCTCGTAAATCTTCCCATCAAAGCCTCCTTGAGGCCTTCCACTCTGTGTGATTAGACTCTCTGTATCACAGGGTTTGTTTCCCCATTGTGCTGAACTGTCACCTCAACATCACTGCTCTCCTGCCCCCCTCCCCGCCCCAGCCAGAATGTCCTGTGGATTACAAGAAAGCCAGAAACTACATTTCCCACAAATTTCTTTGTTCTCTAGTTCTACGTTAAGAGTTGGCTAATGAAAAATAAATAAATAAAAATAAACAGAAAAACACATTTTTTGGAAACCAAAAAACAAAACAAAACAAAAAGAGTTGGCCAATGAGAAGCATCTCCATGAATTTGGAAGGCAGAGAGAGTTGTCTTTCCTCAAAGGCTGTGCATGCAGAAGCGGGCAGGCAGCAAACATGGGTTTCACAGCAGCACCACGATCTCTTGCAAGGAACCTGCTTGGGTGCTGTTAAGTTATAGCTGAGGCAGCTGGTTGCAGTGGTTCTCAACCTTCCTAATTGCTGCGTTGTTACAAATTGAAAAAAGGGGTCACAACTCACAGTTCAAGAACCCAGTGTCAGTGCTGCAGACTGAGAAAGCAGAAACTTCTAGATGTCAAGATTCACAGCAGTCCAGTGGGTCAGCCCCTGAGATCCGCCCACTCTGGTGCTGCTGTTGCTCCCCGCAGCCACCCTTCTGATGCTGGAAGCTTCTAATTCCATATTCTAAGACATTTTACACTTACAATGCATCAAGTCGTTTGTTTTCCTGACCAAGATGTTGAAACATTTAAAATTAGCACTCAAGAGAAAAGTTTCCTGTCTTATTAACTTAGTGTATGAGATATTGCTTCCTCGGGTCTACTGAGTTAGGAAAATCTGGCTGAAATGAAGAAAGGATAACCCTGCATGTTTGGCAACCAGGTAATGTCTTTTCCTATCTCGTATCAAAATTCTTAAATACTTGGGAAAAAATGGTTATATCTTCATTGATTTATAAATCATGTTAGGGTAGTTGTTAAGCAGAGGGGTCATGAATTTTGTCAGCAAAGTGGTTACACTGCAACATTGTCAAGTCCTTACTGGTTGCCAGGTCAAACTGCTAAAATCTTAGGGTAGACTGAACAGGTCTGAGAACCACAGGCTCATTTTTTTATTTTTAACTCAATCATGAAAATACACAACTTTTTTTAAGAAAAGCAAAATGACTGATTTTTTTTATCCCTAAAGAACTGAAAACATAACTCAACTCATAAATTTCCCAATCAACTTGGTTTAGCCCATTCTGAAACTTTATTTATATTGCACCAAACTGGCCACATGTAAGCAATACATTCAGTTCTAACTTTCAAAACTTGCTGAGTAAGTTATCCTCGTGGATCTTAGCTACAGAGGTGGACAATAACTTTCTTTTCTTTATACAGGTTTTATCTTTTATTATGACATTCATTTTTCTATATGAAGATACAAATAAAAATTACACCAACTACAAAAGACTACTCTGTACTTAATAAACCACAGACCTATTTCATGGAACAAGAAGCCTTTGAAGTCGTTTTTCTTTATTATAGGTTTGCCTTAAAAAATGATATTCAAAACACAACATTTTTGTGTACAAAAATTCAGCACTGTTAACAAAAAGCAGTTATGACACTTTACAAGTCAGTGGCAACCTCTTCAGTGGTTCTCGGTCACCCATGTAGATGCTGCCAGGGCACCCAGACAGCAGCCATGGTGATTCCAGACACTCCAGCTATGGTGGTCTGCTAGACTGAGCTTCATCTGTGCGCAAATCTGTACCTTTTAACAGATAATCCCATGCCCACTGAAAAACAAGTTGCATGATACTGAAGTGATGCTAGTTACTCTTTCACCATCTATCATTTTGCAAAATCAAAACAGTTTCATAATATTTAAGGACCAAAACAACAGCCAAATACTGAATCCCACATTGTCATTCAACGTATGAGGTTGATCAATCTCCATCTGTGTTCAAGTGTTCCTTTCCAACACACTAAAATGAACAAGTGCCACTTGAGAAGGAACCTTCTTTAGTTTGACTCAAACAGATCAGACACACTGTCAGTCGAAAACAACTCTAACTTTATTTTCCATAGTGTAATCTTCGTCTTTCACAGTGATTCTAAAACTAACCTAAAGGCAAACTTCCAAAAAAAAACATTTTTTTTTTAAAATTTGGCTACTGTAGCATTTTTTTTTTCAGTTTAATTTTTTCTAATCAGGACTACTTTTTCTGTGTTCCAAATATTTTGTGTAAAATTCTCTCTCAAGTAATTTGTGTAATTTCTCTTAAGAGAAGGTAAGCCACTAAACTCGCTACTTTAAATCATTGATCAGTGTCCCAGTTAAAGGAATATTTTTAAATGATGACACTTTTAAGTAAAGGTCCTACACTCACGCCAATGTTTTTAAGTGTTTTGGTTATTACTGGGAACTCATGTGAAATGAAAAGAAGTACATGTACTTGGCCAGTATGAGGATAAAAATTTTATCAAGTACAACTGTGGCAAAAAAATTTAACTGATTTGTGAAAGACACTGGGACTTTTACTTAGTCATGGATGCAAGTTCACCACGTGAAATAGCAAGCACTTCTGAGCAATTGCAAAGACAGACCCTGTTTGAACAAGCCTGGTGGGCTGGCACTGACTTCGCAACAGGGGTATCTGTGTGAATTCTCTGGCAATATGAAGTCACTAAGCTCCACTCACTCACTCACAATAAAGTTTTCTATAGTCTGTTTTGTGAAAAAAGTTGGGTTTTGCTGTCATGCAAAAGGCAGCTTCTTCCCAGAGACAAAATACACAATATGATTGATTCTCCCCCAAAACAACTTTGAGTAAACTAATGCTCTAGAAAGATGACAAATTCCTACAGTGCATGTGGCCACATCTCCAGTGCAGAGGCTCCAGGTGGCACAGCACCACAGTGTGAGATAAGCACTGGTCCCAGGGAAGCAAGAGTCCTCACGAAATTGGCCTATCCAGACCCCTTTTAAACCACTTTCATTTTGGTTGCAAAGATACAGTTTAGTTTCCTAATGTTTTATTTGTTCCCATTTGAAGTCTAGAGCTTGCCATGTTTGACACTGCCTTCACTACCAAACGGTCATATAAGAACATTACAAAATACAAACTATAAACTAAGATAATCCTCTTTACAGTATTCAGATTAGTATATTAGAACATTGATTTAAAAAGGCAGATGAGTCAACTGGCAAACATCCAATTGCTTTTCCAATGAGGACCATACAAAATGGCACACAAGGTAAACACAAAATTTAAGTGTCAGGTGCTCAAAAACAGAAATTGTGGGGAAATTACTTCCCAAAAATAATTTTGACCCAGGTACGTATGTAGCCATTATTCTATAAAACATAGGGAAGGTAAATAATGGCTCACAAAACTAGAAGGTATTGTTAAGATAGTTTAGTAGAATAGCAAGTAGGGATCTTCAGAAACGAAACATAACAGGCATTGGTATTCGTTCTCCTCCTCCTCTTCCAAATTACATTAGACATTTACAGGAACTACACTTTCCCTAGTGAACGTCAGACTTAAATTACCATAGATTGTAAAAGCAATCTATCCTTAGTAATTTTACTAAGCAATCTACAGCAAATGCTTAATATATACACATCACAAGGATGAAATATCCAAGCAAATTATTCACTCATTTCATTCAGAGTAAACAAAGGTTTTAAAAGAACACAGTAAGAAAAGTGGAATAAAAATTTGTGCTGTTGCAAAACAGACAAAATTTTATAAACCCCACAAAATGATATGCAAATGTTTTAAGTTATTGAGAATATCTTCTCTGTTGAACCAAATCAAAATTAAATTGGAGGTTTTTCTAATGGAAGTAACATAAAGCCAGGTGCATGTTAACACAGTGACAGAGAGATAAGCAGAACACATGCATCGTAAACTTACTAATTTCAAAAACTAAGTCAAACAGGGTAAATAAATTATAAATGAAAGGCATATACAATGTGGGCAACAACTTAACTGTTATTAAATTGGAAAGCATGAAAGTGGTATCAGCAACAACATTTAGAAAAACTTTCATTATTAGAAAATATCAGATTTAATCCAAAGGAACCCCCTTGTGAAAATAATAAAGTATGGGAACCATCCTTTTCACGATAGCTTTAAAATAATAATTAAAAAACCCATAATTACAGGAATCTTCCCACATAATTTAGAGAATGTAGTGCAACAGTGTACTCCTGGATAAACTTAGCTGTGCAGTCCCCAGATGATGAGACCAATAACCAGAACTCCCAGGACAGCGATAATGAGGATGATGCACAGGGTTTTTCTGGATTTGCGCTGCAGATGCAAAAAACAAAAAAAGAAATCAGAGATTTAATAAGAGTATCTCTCTAGCAACTGAAAATACTGTATTTGGTTCATTTCTAGAGTAAAATCAATCCTAGTTTATTGCCCTCAAGTTTTGGCTGTGTTTGCTGCTTCACAAAACTCTCTTCAATATAAAGCACTATTCTTTTAAAAAATCCTCTTCTTGAATGAATGCCGCAATTTTTCAACTCTTCTTGGTAATTATTTTTGTGGGTATGGCTGGGCTTAAAATAGAAGACACTGAGAGTTAACATATAAGTGAGTTACAACAGAATGAGGTATACCTATGTACAAACACAAAGAACAGCTTCAAAGTTCAGACATTTTTTAACTTTTATTTAAAAATTTCTCTTAAAAATGAATTCTTTGGAAATATCCACAAGTATAAAAATGTTTGGCAACTTTTCCTAAAGTAATTATTTGTTCACTTTCAAAATTATTTTCATGCTTTAAAAATTAATAAAAATTTCATTCAAAATCTCAACATACAAATAGAAACCAAAGAGCAAACAAAATCATAATGCTGTCATTTAAAACACAGACGTTAAGAATCTCGTTCCACTCTCCATTCCTGACCCAGCTACCCGTATGTCTTTTTTTTTTTTTTTT